AAGTAATGAGTTCGATACCGGGGCGCAGTAACGGGAATAAAACATGGTAAGATGAATTATTAACTGCAACTGAGATATTCGCTGGCATGACACGTGGAATTAGAACACTATACCTCCGTTGGCTAAATAAGGGGTTTGATTCGAAATTCCAAGAAATATTATCTGATGAAGTCATACAACCGTCGAAATGTCGTGAAGGTGTCAGTGTACAATTAATCGCTAAAGATGCAGGTAAAATGATCAGCTGATTGTAGCGCTCCAGCAAGTATCTGACCCCCCCTCATGCTATCGTCTACCATCATAATAGTCAGAATAGGCCGAAAATGGAGTACTGTTGCCATCTTTTGGCGGCGAGCTTCCCAGTTCTAACTTTCCTGTCTTGATAGAGTTCTAAAGCGTCTTCGAATCCATGTTGGAGAAGAATTATTTTCCACCTACCAAACTCTCTCTCATAGGCGAGATGTAATGATCCTCTCATTGGCCTATGGCTTCGTAGAAAATGTTCGGATGAAGTACGTTCCTTGGTTGCGCCAAGGCTAACCTTCATGTCTAGGACCCGCCATGCCACTATTGGCGATAAGTAAGTCCCCTTCAAACAGCTTCTACTCGGGAAACACAGATACCCAAGAAGAGGTTTCCTCGATCACAACAATATTAACCTGTTCAAGTCTAGAGTTAACCATTATCTTCCTCTCCTAGCCATATAAACTGCCCCTTAACTTAACCTTCTACATCGAGTGGCTCCAGGCCTTGTACAGAGTGAAGCTTACTGTAAAAAAGGAAAGTAAAAATGACAACACCAGTATTGTAAATAGTGTATTACAGAAATATAGGCAAAGATATCGACGTGTATAGTTTCTGATGCTCTCATAAACTATTTACGAAAGCATTATATACACCCGTGTGCAAATTAATTGAGACAACCGCTTTAGTTTCCTTTCTTTCACCATACAGTCAGTTTTAGACCCACTGGGGTGACAGGGTGTAATAGATTTCGACTTTTTCTTCAGACGAGATCATTTGCAGTGGTGTGCAGTAATATGAATCTCTTTTGGAGTAGGTGGTGAAATTTGTTTGGCCTGGAAAAATATAGCGTCATTCATGATTGTATCAGATTTTTTATCGCGCCCAGACACTATTGTGTGAACTGTCGATTAGTTGTCCTACGGCCATTGTCTGCGATAGATGTTACTCCAAGGAAGCGTATGAAAATTGTAATGCTGCACGATAACACTGGCAAGCCTTACCAGGGAATAAATCAAAGTATTATAGACTGGCCCGGAAACTCGCCATATTTAAATCCAATCGAGAATTTATTGTCAATCTGCATGGAACGACTTCGTGGAATGGACATGCGAAATAATAACGTGTGCACTGGATTATATTTCCTTGGAAAAATTTAAAAAAAAGTAAATAATAACGGAATTATTCGTTTAGTTTCACTTAATATGCACAAGGGCGTACACTCAGCAGAAATTTTATTATGCAGATAGGATTTCCTATCGCTTTTAGGTCTGCTGACATGAAGTGGAAAGATTGTATCGAATCTATCGCTAGGACAGCTACCAGGAAGTTTTGTTCACTGTATCGTGATAGATAATTCTTCTAACCAATTCTACTTACATATTTATAAGTCTTCCATTCTTCCGTGCATTGAATAATGCTGCCACATCTGGTCTGGTGCATCTGCTATGTAACTGGAGATTCTTGATAAAAGCGAAAAAAGAATCTCCAATTTTATTGGTCCCAAATTGGCATCTCGGCTTCGGACACTTTCTCTCTGTCATAATGTAGCTTCCCTATATATTTTCTATGAATACATTCAGATTAATTGTTCAATGTGCATTCCTTTTTCATAAATACATATTGGGGTTTAGATTTTTAACATATTTTATTACGCTCCAGACAAATTAGGACCCTATAGAGATTATGAGGAACTATGGTGGCTATAGTAAGAATGGTAAGTAAGAAAGTATTGTTTTTATGTAAGGAATACTGTGGTATGTTTGTGTCAGTTATCGTGGCGAGCTAAATTTAGTTATAAGATAGAAGACCAGCCTTCTCCCACCCACCTTTTCGGACTTTTGCCACGTTTTTGTATTTCATGCAAAATAAATATCGCTTTCCTCTTTTATACCTAGAATTTACGAATTCAACCGCAGTACTAGATTAGCAGTTAGGTCTCATCAGGTTGTAGTTAAAATTGCTTGATATAACCTTAAGTTCTAGACTAACAGTTTCATTTCTGGCACTTCTCACTTGCGGAAATCTCTTCCGGCTTCTTGCTTTCTAGTGAAATTCATTCTTCAAAATTTAATGCCAATGGTCTGTTTGCTTAATTCCTGTTCTTATTATTAGCCTTAAGAATGTTTTTCCTAATATTCTTTCACATTCAGTAACCTCTTGCATCTTAGTTGCTTTATTTACCTGCTTTGCATGAAAAGATTAAAGATGCCCTTCAGTCTTTTTGTTACTGATTGGACCATATTCCGCAAGAACTATTTCGAAATTTTGTCCATCTTGTTATTATGGGTTTCTTCTAGATTGTTTGTTTGCAAATCAAAGACTTGAAATTTGCATAGATGACTCAATTTATTATCAATTTATATCAATTTATATCAATTTATTATAAATTTATATGGATTTATTATAAATTTATATGAATTTATATGAATTTATTATCAATTTAGATCATTTTATTATCAATTTATTACCAATTTATATCAATTTATTTTAAATTTATATGAATTTATTAATTTATATCAATTTATTATCAATTTATATCAATTTGTTATCAATTTATTATCAATTTATATCAATTTATTATCAATTTATATCAATTTATTATCAATTTCTATGATTTTATTAATTTATATCAATTTATATAAATTTATTATCAATTTATTACCAATTTATATCAATTTGTTATGAATTTATATCAATTTATTACCAATTTATATAACATTATTTGCAATTTAGATCAATTTATTATCAATTTATATCAATTTATTACAAATTAAATCAATTTACTATCAATTATTATAAATTTATTACCAATTTATATCAATTTATTATTAATTTATATCAATTTATTACCAATTTATATCAATTTATTATCAATTTATATCAATTTATTATCAATTTATATCAATTTATTATCAATTTATTATTAATTTATATGAATTTATTATCAGTTTATTATCAATGTATTATCAATTTATATAGCAAATAAAAAATTAATATTCAGGATTTCGGATAGTTAATCCATAGTATTATGAAAAAAAGTTTTTGAAATTTATTCCCGGCAGAGATGCGTTTCTGTAAAAACTTCAAAATTACTTGCTTTCACTTCAATGTTTTGCTGTGCAATTTACTTAATATTAACGCATATAAATAGAACTATAATTTTTAGTATAAAAATGATATCAGATTAAATAAGTGAGTTAATTCTATTTAAAGTACCCTTGTGTGAAAACTATAAGAAGCTCAATAAATAGCTTATTAATCACATTTACCATACTTTATGCCAAAACAAATGTTGCCAACCAACTTTTATCGGAGAGAGAGCCAGTTATTTATCTTTAGTACTTATTTAACGTGGAAGGTTAAAAAAAAAACAAAAATACAATGTCATTTTCAATCATATTGTGTCCATATTTTGGCTAGTTGTGTGTTCAAATATGTTATTCTTTATATATCTGTTATAAAGAGAGGTTATTTGAGCTGTCTGGGCATTAACCTCCAATCTCTTTCATAAACAAAGGATTTCGACCCAAGGGAATTTTTTTTCTTGTCTGACTATGATCTGTAATGCTAGAAATGATAGTGTCGGAAAATCCTACAAGATGTTCGCACGACCAACCCATGACACGTAAGTCAGATAAAGAAATCTAAATCTTACCAACCCCTTTATCCACTGCGCCATGTGTCCTTGAGAATAAAGACGTTGGTTAGATCAAGTGACAGGACCTAAAGATTGTGAGTTCAATACCCGGTTAAGGCGGTGGAGAACTTGGAGAGGAGAATTAACAGGAGATAACTGATAACTGGCATTCATTAGACATGACACGTGGAACTAGAACAGTCTACACCAGTGAGCAAAATAAAGGGTTCAGTTCGACATTCCAAACACCTGAAGAAGGTCGGAGCGTACAACGGCCGAAACGTTGTAATAAATATGTCGACAAAGATGAGGACAATAGTCCAAATAATGTAAATAGTGTAGCTAAACCATGCAAACTGTTCCAGAAAAAATTTCTACACTAAAAAACATTAAACAAAGTCTCATTAATAATAACTTTATTAATTACTTTGTTGGTGAAAAAATTAGACAAGCTATTACAAATATTAATTTAAATAAAAATGAACATAAATCTTTCGGAAATAACCCTAAATATACCAATCTACTATATCGCAATCAAATACCGTCTTACTACAGACAAGATGAAAAAATCCTAATAAAAACTCATAAGTACTAATATGCCCCCACTGATCCCGGTAAAAAATAAAACTAATTTTATACTATAGTAAATTTAATGCAGCCAAATTAATCCTCAGCAATAACTGTTCTCCGTCAAATAATCTTTTGCAAAAATCAACCAGTAATGTATCGAAAGATACATGATCGCCTAATCG